GGTGCCGCGCCAAGGACTGCGGATCGCAGCCTTCCCGCCACCTGCCCCCGCCCCGGCACCCCCACCCCTTTCCCCCCGGCCTCCGTGCGTGGGAGTCCAAGGGGCACCGCATCTGGGGGTCTTCGAGACGCTGCGAAGGATGCTTGCGGGAGAGAAAGGGTCGGTGTGCGCGGGGAGCAGGGACACTGCTTGAGCGCGGGCACGGAGGGGGACCTTTCTTCTGAGGACTGCAGGGCTTGGGCGGAGCCCCTGAGACGAGGACAGTGGTCGCTAGTGGGTCTCTGCTCTCGTCGCCCGAGTCCCAAAAAGAGGGTGGGGGGTGTGTTGGACCCCGGAACACAATAAACCACAGCCACGCCGGCGTCCGAAAAGGAAGAGGCCGAGCGGAGGCGGTGGAGAAGCGGGGAGACTGCCCTGAACCCTGTCCCCAAAAGCGTTCCCGCCCAGACTGGGCTCCGTCGGGCCTGCGGCGCCCGGGGAGGAGCGCGTGGCCGGTGGTGAGCGCCCCCTGCCGCCGCCCGCGGTCCGCGGGGACACCGCGTCCGAGGCGCCCTAAACGCTCCAAGCAGATGGAGCCGGTGAGTGCTCAGAGATTTATGGCTTCAGCTGCCTGTTTCTCCTGCTGCTGCCTCGGTTTCCTCCGTTAAGGGCAAAGAGGTAAGAGGAAAACTGGCTTGGACTCAAATCTCAGCAGAACCGAGACGCAGGCAAGGGTTTGTTTGGGGAGAGGAGGCGCTGGGCAAATTCAACCTCTTGACCAATAGGAAGAGGACGTCCCCAGTGCAGAGCAAGACCTAGTGGGGGGTCAAAGGGGGAATGCGGGTATTAGAGGTTGCGGTGAAGGGCGGAGCTTCCCCTACTCGCTGTCCAGTCCCACTCTTCTTGGGTGGCCGTGAGAAGACGAGTTGGGTAGGATATTTCCCACTAGGCTCACACCCCGCCTGCCCCATCCTGGCCTCAGAGACCTGCGGAGCCATTACTCTCCCTCGGGCACACTGTCCCTACCCATGCCCCCTGTGGCCACCGCCAGCAGGGCCAGCCTAGAAGCGATATTTTGCACTGATTGTGGAGCCTGTCGTGCTATGACCCCAACCTAGAGGCAGGCCTTGAATTTCTCGCGTGCAGCCCCTCATGACACCCTCTGTACAAATGAGCATCAATCCGCCTCAGAACGCGGGACTGTGCCACAGGACCTGCCTCGAGCCAGCGTGCCCACAGGACCTTTCTTCCAAGATGACCTCTCCATCCCCACAGATTGTGGCTCACCTCTCCCAGGCCATACCTCAGACCCCACGGCCACGTGGTAGGGGCAGGGAGGGGTGTTTTCTCCTTGATGCCTGGCTGTCCCTGCCTCCTGCCACCTGACCCAGCCCCTCTGTTAGGTGATAGTGCCCACAGCCAGATGGGTCCAGTGTTGTCTAAGCCAGGTTCCAGAGGGCAGCCAGCCTCTCCTGCCCCTGCAGAGGCAGGTTTTATAGAAACATCCTCCCCACTCACTGGGCTGGGTTGGACACACTGTTGCCAGGGGTGGAGAGGTCTCAGTAACTGCTTCCTTGTGGAAGGACAGAGGGGTGGCCATTGGATCCTGGGGAGCAGCCACTTGAGCAAACTCCTGCCTGTCCCTGGTGGCCCAGACAGGCTTGGAAAAGACCACTCACCCTCTCAACCACACTCAGGCCAGGGTCCAGTGGGTATTGCCCAGATACTGCGGCCAGCGTTGGCCTTTGTATCCGGCCCATTTCCCTTAAAGGGCCAGCCTTCAGGACTCTGCAGGGGCTGAGGCTAGGCTGTTGTACCCCCTCCCCCATCCCTGCTCCCCATCCTGTAAGTCCCCACTGAGGTGTCCTCACTTGGGCCTTCCCTGAAGGAACAGTTCCCAGTCATCCCAGCACCAGGCCCTGCTGGGCAGCAGCCCAGGTGGGGACAGCCAGGGGCAATCTGTAAGCTCACAGGAGGATCTGCCACCACCCCAGACTATGTCACCTGATGCCACCTCCTAGCCCCACCCTCAAATGTGCATGTGGCTTTGTGGCAGTGGGGGCCATTACATAACTGGACTCCCACTCCTCTCTGCAGCTCTCCATCTCCCCATACACCCTGCCTGCTCCAGCCAGCCTCAGCGAATCAGCCTCGGGCCACATCAAGGCTTCCTTCAAGTAGCTCTGCCTTTCCATTGTCATCTCATTCCATCAAAGCTAGCAGAGTTCAGTCCCAGACAACCAGCCAGCAGCAGGAGCTTCTGGGAGCATGCCCAGCCATGTGTGTTGAGAGCGGAGGCAGTGACAGGCACTGGCCTGCCTTCCTGGCTCCACCGGGCTTTGTGTCGGTCCCTAGACAGTCCCTGAGCACCCCCAACTCCAGTCCTCCCCAAGGTTTGCCAGAAGTACCCTCCTTCCCCTTGCTTCTGTGCTTGGCAGGCCCCTACTCTCTCTTCAAGGTCCATTCACCTGTCACCACCCTCTCAGGCAGAAGGAGGTACCCTGTGCTCCAAGTTCCCTGACTCGGTGTACGCAGCTCCACTGTCCCTTCTCTGTACCCAATACCTGGCTGAGATTGCTGAGTGCTGAGGGTCTGTGGCCCAGGTATCACTTGATAATATACCAGGAGCCTTTCTCAGATAGGCAGTGCTCAAATGGAGGGACATCCTTGGAAAGGGGGGCCACAGGGAAAGGTGACCTAGTCCTATCGTCCACAAAGAAGGGAGACAGTTGTCCCATCCCCAGCTGTGAGTGACAAGAGCTGTGCCATCTTAGCTGGAACCCCTGGAGCTACTTCTGCAGGCCTGAGAAGTGGGACTGGCCCCAGGTCCTGCCTTGCCAGGGCTCCAGCAGCTCAGGGCCCACCAGGATGGGGCCCACCAGGATGGGACCCAACAGGGCCTCACCCCCAGGCTATCCTCTGAAGTCCCAGCCATTTGAGTCCCCAGGACCCTTCTTCCTTGACTGCCTTGTATGACCCAACCTGCCCCCTCCCCAGACCCTTGGCGTGCCCTCTAAGTCGGTCATCCTCTCCCTCCACCACACTTGCCTGACAAAACGCCAGCCCTGGTCAGAACTAAATCATCTGTTTTCTGCCTTTGCCCAGCGGCTGCCTTTTCCGGAGCAGAACACTCACTGTATCGACCGGCTTGGCTTTCAACTTATGACCACAAGTCTCCAGACTTTCCTAGAGCTCAGCTCACTCTCTTCAGAATCGGATTGGCTTGCACCGTTCTCCCCCTGCCCCCAAGCTGTGACTTTGCCTCACGCTGAGGAGGAAGGGGCCACTATCAGACAGGAGCTTCCCCACAGGCACCTGCATCTGAGCCCCATCTCAGGCAAGTCCTCTGCCTGAACCTCTGAACCCCAAACCTTCTCATGTCCCCAGGACCCTGCTCCTTCAATTACCCCCTCTCCAGAGGGTAGTCAAGCCTCTCTCTGTAGGGCAGCCCACTCCCTAGGACCCCGTCTGCCCCCACAGCTGCCACCTTCTCCAGCTGTCTCTAATTCCTCACATTCTCCCCTTTACCCTCCACTGAATCTTGTCCTAGTGGGTCAGCCATGGCTTCATACCAAGTGTCCCCATCTTACTCAATTTTTCAGCAATATCATACAGCGGGACACTCCTTGTCCTTGAGACTATCTGCGGCGTCTGCCCCCTCCTCGTAGGGCACCCCTTCTCAGCCTCCTTTTCTTTTCCCCAACTCTAAATTAGTGATTTTCATTGAGTGATTTTTGCCCCTTCCCCTGCAAGGGACATTTGGCCAAGTTTGGAGACATGTTTGACACAACAGGAGGAAGGGAGGTGGCTACTGGCATTTGGTGGGAAGAGGCCCTGATAAGCATCTTACAATGGACAGGACAGCCCCCTACCATCCCAGAGCAAAGAGTTAGCGGGCACAAGTGCTAACAGTGCTGAGATGGGAACCCGGCGCTGTGACGCAGCACCCAGTGCAGCCCTGGGACTCTTTTCTTCTGTACCTGAACTCTTCCCGGTGATTTTGCCTGCCCCTGGCTCCCGCCCGGGTACTGGTGACACCCCAAAGTACTTTCCCGCCCTGAACGCTAGGCTCATTCACCCCACACTCCCTGACCTGCCCATTAGAGGTCTGACAGCCTGTCTTAGCAGGCCCATTCCCCTGAGCCCAGCCCCTCCCCTCTATCAGTGCCCAGCGGCGCCCTCACCCTGCAGCTAGTTGCAGGTGGGGTGGCCTCAACCTCCAAAACATACTCGAAAAGCACTCGCTTCTGCCCAGTTCCACTACCCCCATTGCTCTTGCTTGCACAACTGTAGTGGCTTCCTACTGTTCTCCCTGCCTCTGTCCATTTTCCAGAGCATCCAGAATGACTTTTTAAAATCTCGAATCAGGTCTTGTCACCCGCTCCTTAGAACCCTTCAGCAGCTGGAGAACAAAACCCTCCCTTTCTGGCTGGCCTGGCCCTGCTTGCTCTCCACTTTTTATGCCCCACTTACACTGGCCCAATCCCTCCTGTTCCTGCCTCAGGGCTTTTACACTGACTGTTCTTAGGTAGCCTCCTCCTGTCAGGTCTCACTTGAAATGCCAACACTCCTCCCGTCCCCTGTCATTTGTCAATCCAAGATGCTTTGTCACCTGCCTGTGTTCTGTCCATCCGTCTCCCCACCCCTGAATAAACTCCACGAGAACAGAAACGCTGCCTTGCTCACCGTGCTATTCCCAGTACTTAGAATGGAGCCTACCTGGTACCTAATTCAATAGATGTCTTTGGATGAGTGAATAAATTGATGAGTCCATGTAGCTATGTGGTCAGAGATTAGGGAAAAGACTACAGACCCTGGGATGGGGTAGCTAGCCACCAGGGTTCTGGTTAACACCCAGGGCCACATACATAACATACTTTCACACTGGGGCTCCAGGGCTGGCCCACCAGGGAGGGACAAGATGGGGCATGTGGAACAGGCCTGGGCCAAGCACTAGCCCGGGGAAGGAGCTCTGTAGTGATAGGTGGCTTCATGGGGAAGGACATAACAAAAACAGCCTTGTCCCCGATCACCTACAAAGAGGAAGAGGGAGCAGACTTCCCCTTGCACCAGCAGGCTCAGCCAGCTCCACCTTGCTTGCAAGTCCAAAGCCACATCCTAATGGAGGCAGGTAATGGGAAGTCTGAGGGCTGGGAAGACCTCACAGAGTGCAAAGCATGTCATCTCTTCTGACCTATGTGGCCACCAGGAAATCCCAGCCCAGAGCCAGAGGCTTGGCTCAGCTGCTCAGAGATGGACAGGTCCTGCGGCAGTGGCACTCATTTCTCTGACAGACGAGGGTACTAGGTGTGATGCGTCTATCTCAGGGTTAGTCCAAAGACTACTTGGGAGTAGCCTGGGGGAGCTGACCCCTACCAGGAGCACAGCCAGAGCCCCCACTCACCCCCTCTGAACTCACTCAGGCTCCGTCTTCCACATCTGGGAGGAAGAAGACAGCATTCCCCACCCCCCACTGACCTCCCCTGAAGCTAAGGTGCCTGTTCAATCTTAGAAAATCCTTGGCCTAAGAGAGACTGAAGGTGGAGGCTCCAGCTCCCGTGAGTGTGCCTTCATGTCCCATGATGCCCAGGAGGTTGACAAAAGCCCAGTCCACACTCCTCTGGAAGATGCTTATGACCACCTGAGGGCCCCCCAGGGCAGTCAAGAGGGTCAAGGGTGCTCACCTGTGTGGTAGTCAGCACAGCACTCAATGCCTAGAGCAAGTCCCCAGCTTTATTTCTGGCTTCCCCAAACATCTGAACCCACTGGGATAAGGTGAGGGCTCCTGTTCCCTCCCACTCAGGCTGCAGAACAGTGCCACCAGCACCCCTGGAGAGGTTCTTCACCCCTGAGACAGCCCGCATGGGGGAGGCCAGTCACCGAGAACAAGTGGGCCTTGGTTAGAAGAAGACAAGCAGGGTGATCCCCCAGCCCCACCCCACCTTCCGGGACCTGCCTACTCTGCCCAAGTCCTGGGAGGGGAGAGGGGAACAAGGCTACTGGAAATAGAATGCAAGTGGAGGGGCGCTCAGGGACCTGTGTCCAGGGCCCTCATGAGGTCCCCACTGTGCAGTCCCCGGAGGGCCTCCACCCTGGATGGCACCCTGAGGATGTGAGCCCTCCTGCACTGCAGCAGAGGGGAAGGGTGGAGGCTGTGGATACAGACCAACATTCCCAGGACCAGACATCTGAGACAGGGGGCTGCTGCCAGGGTCCCACCCCCGGGGCTCCCAGCAAGGCCAGGCCCAAGGGTGTGGTGGGGGGGGAGGCAGCACTGTTAGTCCATGCTAGGGGGCCAGGCCTCAGCTACAGGACTTCCGCTGTCTTCAAGGCTAGAACCTTCTTCCTCACCCCTCCAGACCCCTGTCCCTGGAACCCTAAAGAATGTCACCTTCCAGTTCCAGCATCCTCCAGGGCTGAGGCAGACATGAGAGCAGGCAGAGCTAGGCGTCCCCAACAGACCCACCTCCCCTTGACAGGCCTAGAGGGTCCCTCTGTTCCCAGGAGTCCTTGAGGGAACATGGCAGGGAAGAAAGGGGCAGAGGGAGAGGCCTGGGCCTCAGACAGGGACTGGAAGATAGGGGTGTCACCCAGAGGGGCCAAGGATTATGAGACCCAGCTGCTCTGGGCAGAAGGTACCCTCCCCACTTGGGGACAGAAGCCACAGGCTCCATCTCTTGGCATCCCGCTGAAGGGACCCAGAACTGGGTCCTCTGCTTTCAGAGATGGGGCTGAAGGTACAGTGGGCTCTTGGGCCAGCGAGGACTGCTCCAGGGCATGATCAGGAACACCTGCACCAGACCCTGAGCTTGGGGAGGAAGCTGCAGTCTGAAGCTGCCTTGCAGAGGCCTCCACATGGAACTTCTCCAGGGCAGGGGACTCCCACCCCTGTGGGCTCTCCTCAGCCCTGGGGTCAGGGCTCCTGGATTCAGCAGACAACACCTCCAGAAGCCGATGCAGGAGTGGTGGAGAGGCGGGAGGGGGCCTCTTGCCCTGGCCTTGGGCCTGGAACCCTGAAGCAAGAAAGAGGAGGACAGGGCCTAGAATTCCAGCACGAGAGTGTATGCAGCAGGGGGAGAGCAGCGAACTGCTCCCAGGACACAGCAACCCACTCTCGCCCCTGCTGACCTTGCCCTGCTCACCTCAGCAACCTCACCTCCCACCATACTTGCCTCAATACCACCTCAGCACAGGAACCTTCTCCAGGCTCCTCAAATCACCTGGCCTGGCACTCACCTCCCCCACGGGGGCGGGGGCCACTTGGGCTGCAGTCATAAAGCCGGTCAACGCGGGAGATGTCCGAGATGCTCAGGTTCCATCGCTGGCCGATATGGACACTGGGGGCCCAGAGAGGCGTGATGGTGGGCAGCCCGCGCCGGCTGAAGGCAAGCCTGGAACCCAGCAGGTAGGGCCTGAGTCCAGACACAGGGGAGGCTGGCCCAGCAGTGCAACGGGAGGACAAAGAGGGGCCTCACCTCCCATAGTGCATCACCGAGGAGTAGTCATAGGGCACCAACATGTTGCTGCTCCGGGATTTGATGAAGTTGATTTCGAAGCCTAGCTTCATGCACAGGATCTTAGTTATTGTAATGTATCTTATTATCCAAATGTATCCTATTATCAAGCTCTCTCACCTGCACTGTGGCTTGTCCCATGGAGTGAACCAAAATACCAACAACAGCATTATAGATCTAGCTCCAGAGTGTGCTATCTATTACACAGTGTCTGAATTAAGACTTATTGGGAGGACATATCAAAAACAACTTATCTAGTAGTAGGAGAAGGAGAGAGGGGAAGAGTGAGGAGGGGAGGGGAGGGGAGGGGAGGGGACGCCGGGGAACTTATGGCTACCTAAGCAAAGGGTTCCAAAGTTACAGCTAAGTGTAGGGGGCTTCCCCCTGCCCCCACCCGCACCACTATTGGTCCCGGGTCCCCATCTTCTTCATTCCCTCATGCCCCTGCCCTGGGAGGGGTTCAGATCTACACCCTGCACTGCGGAAGCACAGGGACCACGCAGCTGGCCTGCCACCACCTCCTAAGTGTTCTCCCTACCTCTTCCTCTCAAACTGATCTTGTAGAGACCAGTCAGTACAGACTACAGGGTCCACGCAAACTCTCGAGCTCTTGGAGCGACTTGGGCATCCCCTACCGGTGGGATGCAGTGCCTACTCCCCACTTTACCCACCTGCTATCCCCCACATCTGCTGAGGTGAACCTCACTTCTCTGCAACAAGCCTGCCTGCTCTTCCTGCCCCAGGCCAGCATCACCCACTCCCAGGATTGGAGTCTGTACTTCCCTGGTGGCCAAAGCACCCACTACTCCCTGTCACCTGGGTGTTCCAGGCTTGGGAGGGACGAGCTTCCCGTCCCCGACTTCTCTCCTGCCCTTCACAGAGAACCACAGA